ATAGTGAGCCTAGGCTATCATGGCCATCTCTAGATCACTCATCCATGGGGGAAATTAGCCAATAGCAGATCACTGATTAGGGGGAATGTGGGTCATAGTTGGCTAATTGTATTGCACTAATATGAATTAGCAGTATCTGGTCTATGAGGGCTAGTGTGACAGAGCCTTAGGTAGATCCCATCTTCTTAATTTAAGGATGAATGAAGATCAATAATAACACTAAACAGAAACATTGTGGAGCAATACAGGTATCATAGTCATGAAGAGTCAATGACTCTTTGTCAATGACAAATACAGGACATTGCACATGGATGTGGAAGCAACAGGTACTTGGATGTCATTTGTAATTTAATAGTTGATTAGGCAGGAGTCATATGCATAGGTTCTTCTTCTTCAAAAACACAGATTTAACAGACAGCTGCTCTGCAACTGCTTCCCATTTATTTGAACCCACAGCAGGAAAACTTACTTTTGTATGTTATTCTTGTGATGGTATCTCTGTTTAGCATTCGATTTAGAAATGGATTTGAGGATTCAGATATCTAGGGAAAGAGGGGAACAAAATTAAGAACAATACCCAAATAAACTTTCTCCTTCACCACTGGAGTATGTGAACAATGCAAAACGGTTTCATAAATGCAGGTATATGCTATTGGATTTGATATATTTGAAGGTGCTGATTGTACTTGGTACAGTGCATAAAATGTTGGTTAATTACATTGCTGTGCTAAGTTTAAGTATAAATTAGGTAAACACTTAGATAGAAATGCACTGAGATTTGATTTTCATAATGTACATAGACTGAAACAAAGCTTTTATGTCTTCTATGACAAGATCAAGACTCAATCCTTAAGAAGGTTAATGCAACTGTATGTGTGCTTTCACTGCAATATTGTAAATGTGAATAAGTTTCTAAATATCTTATTAAATATATGGCAAAGATCTAAACAACAATGCTATCACATCTCTGTCCATTAATTTTAAACAGAAATGACATAGATAAAACTCTAATGAAACACCCTCTCACAAATAATGACCCTGCCAACATCCTTCTAGCCTCTCTTTAGCTATATATCAGCTTTCTACATTCAGTGCATTCTTTAGAACATGAGAATGGTTACAAAAGAGTGAAGGCCACTGGGCCCATCTAGTTTATATAGTTTCTAGTTGGTGATTAATCTGGCTATTTTTTTAAAGGAAGCCAGGATATCGTCTTCAACAGAATGACTGGATAGCTTGTTCCAGATTCTTACAACATTTGTGTGAAGACATATCTCCTGCTCTTGGTCTGATATATAGTTCCTCTCAGTTTTCACTTCTGTCCTCAGGTTCATGGTTCATTCTTTATTTATTCAAGATGGAAAGACAGACAAATAGATGGAAGCATGGACAAAGAGTTGGAGAGATAAAAATCAATTTTCTAACTGCATTATCCAATTGAGAGTTGCGGGGAAGCCTACCCAGGCTAGCATTGGGCACAAGGCAGGATACACCCTGGATGGGACTCCAGTCCACTGCAGGGCACACACAAACACACACACTCACATCAAGGCCAATTTTCCCAGAAGCTAATTAATCTGTCAGTATGTCTTTGGAATATGGGAGGAAACCAGTTAACGCAGAGCAGAGAGAAACATATTAGAAAAAAAAACTGAGAGTCCTGCTCAATTTTATTTTTTAAGATTATCCACCTCAGCATGAATAAGAAGCTGATCTGAAAGTACAGAATGTTGTCATGGGCCTTCCTCAGAAATTAATGCCTATATAGCAGTGAGAAGTGGTCTTTTCAGTGTTAAGTTTACACAGCCAAAACACATCCAGAATCCAGAGTTTGCTAAAGGCAATATATAAAAACACTCTGGACCTTTAATTTCTGCTACTATCGCAGATGTAAGATTGCCTTCTACAGTACAGCTTTAATGGTTGAAATTGCATCGATAATCGTCGCTGGGGTAATCTTTTTCTTTGTGAACTGGTGGAGAGTCCTGACCTGCGCACAACCAAGGCTAATGTGCAGCAGACACTTTTTCTCAGCAGAAAGGGATACTGACATTCTTTGAAAGACTATTAATGGAAATGTCAATTTTTCTGCTGTGCAACAATTACTGTATGTTAACATGACTCTACCTAAGCTTTTAGATGACCAAATATAATCACATGAAGTTCAAATGAAGATAACTGTACAGTATACAGTATATGCAGCCTGCTAAAAAGTAGAAAGCAATAACAAATCTTCTTTAGGTAGCAGGTAACACCTGAAAAAGGCTCAAAATGACAGCTGATAAATTGCATTTTTGCTTTTCAACATGAAATGTAACTACAGGTTCATATAAATTTAATGTTTTTGATAGTGCAACTCAGGGGACCTCAATTCCAGCACATTAGGGTAGGGCAGTCATTTAATATATTTAAATCATCCAGGTGGATGCTGCACATTGGTGGTGGTGGAGGGGAGTCCCCATTACCTGTAAAGCGCTTTGAGTGGAGTGTCCAGAAAAAGCGCTATATACAGTAAGTGTAAGCAATTATTATTATTATTATTAAATAAGGAGAGTATTGAAGTATTTCATTCAAGTATTTCAAATCCTTAAAAAAC